TGGGTGCTAGTTTGCAGCAGCTGGTAGAGGCAGTGGCACCCCAGCAGCAAGAGTGGCCCCGCCACCGAGCTCCTGCCCAGGAACCACCCTCAGCATCTCAGCACCCCGCCCAGAGCTCTGAGCTGAGTCTGGGCACATCTGGGCTTTATCGCCATTGATTTTGTTAGCAAGATGGGTCCTAAGTTAACAGAAATAAGAGAGCTCATAAAGATGTTATCGTTGGCATGAAAGTGAACGTAATTAAGTGTGTTTAGTGCGGTTGGCAGGTTATTTTGGGGGGTGTGAACATGCAAAAACGTTTTCTATGTAAATTAATGGTAATTGCTTCTTAGCTTTATGCCATTTCGGCTTCAAAAGGTTTCATAGGAACCTCCACTTTCAGATAGTGGGGAACCTGTGCCTCCGTCATTTTCTCACATGTGTAGATTCATGTAGCCGCCACCACAATCAAGATACAGAACGTTCCGTCCCACAAAGGCCTCCGTCCCAGGTCCCTTTTATGGTCTCCTCCACCGCATTCCAACCCTGTACCCCACTCACCTCTTGAACCCTGGGAACCACTAATTCTGTTTCGATAATTTTGTTTTTTTGAGAAAGTAAGATAAATAAATGGAATCACACAGCATATGGCTTTTTGAGACTGGCTCCCTCCCCTCAGCCTAGTTCCCTCAGGTCCACCCAAGTTATTGTGTATCAATAGCTCCTTCCTTTCCACTGCTTTGCAGTGGTCCCTGGCGTGGATTTTCTGCACGTTGTTTAACCTGTGACCCATTGAGGTGCTGTACTATTTTACATTCCCACCAGCAACAGAAAAAGAATTTTGATATCTTAACATTCACATTTGCATTTTATTTGGTTTATAGTAGAATTCAGATTTCTCATTTGAAAACCATATTAATTTCAAAATATAGTCTCCTTCATTCAGTGAGTGTGGGTGCCTGCTAATGCCAGCCTGGGGAGGGCCTGGGAACCAGGCAACACCCCCCCACACACACCTTCAGAGCAGACAGTGCTGGGTGGGGTGGGGTGACCCTGTGATGCCTGAGTGCCTGCAAGGTTGACTCGTCTGCTCTTTGCTCCTTTAGGAGCTGAGAGGTGACTCAGGTGATGAGGACTGAGGGAGTATTTTATGAATAAGAGTCCAGGGAAGTCTTGTAACCTCTGACCTTTTCACTACTTAACTTACAAATTACATTTTTGACTAATTAAAAAGAAGTGGCTAAGAAGATCTCTAGAGAGTCAGCAAGTTAGAAGGCAAGATGACTCCCTGGTGTTGATGTTGCCTTTGAGCCTGGCCGGTGCAGTAGCAGAGAAGTGCCGACTCTCTCTCTCTCTCTCTCTCTCTCTCTCTCTCTCTCTCTCTCTCTGTCTCTCGTCCTCAAGTGAGGATTTAAAAAAAAAAAAAAAAAAGTCTATCAGAAGGTTCTGCTACTTAATTGCTGTGAGGGCCCGGGCAGGTCACTGAACCACTCTGAGCCTCAGCAATGAGACAGGAACAGTCAAGACCGCATGAGACAGCTCCGTGGTTCCCACAAGGGTGTTCACAGGCAGCCCTAGAAGTGTCAGCTTTACTCTCATTGCTGTTGGTCATCCAGACCTCTTCCTAGAAAGCCCGTTGCTTGTGAGCAGATTCCAAATGCGAATCCACAAGCATTTATCAAGATGCCAGGGCTGCTCTCGCCCCAGGCTTTGCTCTTCGGGAAACAAGAACAGGTGGTGGTGATGAGGGGCAATGTCCAAGGGTGAGGTCACCGGAGCGGGAAGTTCCCTTCAGACCACAGAACGAAGAGGCAAGGGTCATGTCTGCCTTCTTACCTTTACATTCCCGTGCTTGGCACAGAGTAGGTCTCACTAAATATCGGCTCAGGGAACCCATGAGATTCATATGGAGCTGGCCCCCTCTTGCCCACAGCCTGACTCTCTATGTGTTGCTCTCCAGTCCCAGGCAGTCCTAGTCTGCACCAGGAAACATCTCACCCCTCAAGCCAAGCCCTTCAGGAATGCCGGCCCTGGAGTAAGCCCACCCGGGGCCTTGTGGCTGAGCACCCCCAATTCCCACCTGGGGTGCTCTCCACATGTCCCCCGCATCCCTCCTGCAAGCCAGGGGTTATGCCTCACCTTACCTTACCTTATAGAACTGACATGAACAAACTCACTCCACCCTGGGCCCCGGGTTTCCTACTGTCCTTAGCAAGCACACCAAAGCCTTCTAGTTGATCGTTATCTGTGTTCCTTAGATGTAGCCATAACCATTTTTGTTAGCAATGGCTGAGTGGTGTGACAATTAAGATAGATATCAAACGGCCCCTGGCACTACTGCATTCCTTGTCCCTTTGTTTTGTCAGTCATTAATACCTGAGTTACAGTATAAAAAGCACTGTAACAGGTCTGATAGCGGAGAACAATCTGTGCCAGTGCTGGGTCATCTGTCTGCTCTGACCCTATATCCCTGCAAGTAAAGACCCCATAATAAACCCTGTTATATCCTAAGGAGGTGCTTGCTTCGTTCTGTGGTCTGAAGGTACCTTCTCCTTATGGAGCTTTTATGCCTCCGCCCCCCTGTCAGATAGAATACAGAATACTTCCATCACCAAAAGGGTGCCTCCTTGCCCCTTTTATAATCACAATAACTCCCCTCCTGCCCCACCCTCTTCTTAGTCCCCAGCTCATTAATCTCTCCTCCATTTCTTGTCTTTGAAAAGGGGGGAGTTGTGGGACAGGGTCGTCCTGGAGGAGGCGTACAGGGACCCTGGGGTTGGAGCCACTGCCATTGCTGCTGGCGGGACAGTGACAGGGCCTAGGAGCCAGGAACGGTGGTTGCAAACTCCAGCCCGCAACACAGAAGGATGGCCTTGAGCTGAGAGACCCAGGGAACTAGCAGGCAATCATCCACACCCATCCCGCTGGTCTGGACTTAGAGTCCTCTCCTTCCCCTGACTGGCCAAACCATGAGCAATGTCCCCTGAATCAGTGACTTCTATCAGGGCAGATGGGACGGGACGCAAGCAGCCTGCTGCAGGTCAGCCAGCGGGTTCACTGCAGGAGGGTAGGGAGGGGCCCAGCACATTCTGACCCGCTGGACCCGGGGCCCCAGATAAGAAGCCTCACTGATAAGAAGTGCCCCACCTGCCGCCAGCGCCCTTCCAGGGCTTTTCATCCGGAGAACTTTCCCCCCGGGGCATGGGGCTCGGGCATGGGGCACTGGGGCACTGGCACGGGGCATGGCTGGGCCTTGGGAGGCAGGAGAGGTTTCTAGAGTGTCATCCAGATGGACAAGCAGAAGGAAGGGGCTGAGGAGGGAGGGGTGAGGGACCCTGAGCCAGGTTCCCTGGCCTTTATCCTTCTTATCTCAAACCTCTCCTCCTCTGCATCCTCCCCTACCTGCCGGCCAGCCTTGCCCCTGAGCTGCCTCCATCCTGGTCTGCCCCATCCGGCCAGGAGGCCTGCTGCTGGGGGCCCACACAGGCCTGACCTGTAGCAACAGACACTTGTACCCGGTTACAGAGCAGCTTGAGCCCAGCTCCACACCCTCCTGCTTCAAGCTGCACCCAGAAGGCGCCTGGTGGGCCCCGGGGCCGGGCCGCAGTAGGCTCCCCATCCGGGGCAGGTACCGTGGGCGTGGGGCGCAGAATCTTCCCACCTGTTTTAGGGAAGTCCATCCATCTCAGCCCTTCGCCCCAACTGGAGTCTCAGAGCTTTGTGCTTCTGCCTCTGCCCTGTTCGCAGCCCCCACCCGCCCATCCGGACCCTCTCTGCCCAAGTGATGCTGGCGGGGGGAGAGGGGCTGTTTATTTGAGCGTCACCCTCCCTGACGGCACATTTTTGTGTAGTTCTTCCTGTGTGCCAGGCCACGTGGTGTCGCAGGACACGAAGGGGTGGGAAGGAGGCGGGAGATGGGAAAGCCTCTTGGGAAATCCTGTCTGTTCTCCCAGGAAAGCTGCTCCCAGGGGGCCTGGTAGGTGCAGGCACAGGAGCGGCACAGGGACGAAACCAATGGGTGCCCGTCCTCCTGGAGGAAATGCCCGTCTGTGGCTGGGCCTCAGTGGCAGGCGCGGGGGTATCAGGTGGTGCCACCTGCATGGGAATCAGGCCCAAGAAGATGAGAGTGAGCAGCTAGCGAGTGAGCAGAGGCTAGCAACTGCCTCCTGCCGCCTTTCTCCAGTTGCTCAGCAGCTCGTTCCAAGCGCCTGCTGTGTGCCAGGCTCCATGCCCTGCCCTGGGGACACAAAGGCCACAGGGGACACAGAGTCCTGCATTCAGGAGCTCAGGGTCTGGGGAGGAGGCAGCGAAGAGAGACACTGCCATGAGGGGGGTCACTGAGGGGTGCCCTGGGGACTTGGTAGTTCAGGGGGGCTTCCTGGAGGAGGTGCTTTGGTCTGATCCCTGCCCTGAAGGGTCTGCTCATAGACACGGTGGGGGAGGGAGGTGCCGAGCAGAACATTGGTGGGGACTGGAGTGAATGGTGATGCCTGGGTCCTCGGTGCCTGACGAAGGACAGGACACAGCCGCTGGTCACAAAATGTCTGTGGGTTCCTGGGGGAAGGAGGAGGTGGGGGCTCCTGCCTGAGTCCAACTCTAAGACTCATCTTAAAAAAAGGTTTTCCCTGCCTCCCCCCTCCTCCCCGCCCCATGCTTGGTTTGGGTGTTGCTGTTTTTCAGGGACAAGAAGAAAGGTCCTTTCGACTTTGGCAGGACAGGAATGTTTTTATTATTCCACCTTCTATTACCCTGTGAGCCCGGGCTGGTTAGTCAGTCGAAGTTGGGTTAGTGGAGGCCAGGGTCTGAATGGGTGGGTGTGGTCCTGGGGAGGAAACGGTGGCAGGGAGGGCAGGAGGAAGGCCAGGAGGTCTGGCGCTGACTCACCTCCCCTCCGGCGGGGACATCCTGCCCCTCCCGGCGGCCAGAGCTCACCCAGGGTGGGCCCTGATTTCCCTGGCGGGCAGCCAGCCTGGTCCTGAGAGCTCTTGTGGGCACCAAGGTCTCCTTATATGACCTGGTCGGCCAGGAGCAGCCTGGACAGAGCTCTGACCGGCACTATTGTTCCTGGAGTGGACCGGATGGCACAGGGGCCCTCACTGGGGACCAGGGCACCAGGCTGGCAATTTCCTGCGAGCTTTAAAGCCACAGAGAGAAATTCTCACTCCATGAGTCAGGACGAGAGAGGGAGTGTCCGGAGGTGTCCTAGGTTGAATTATGGAGCACAGAACTTCAATGTAAATGCAAGCTGTTGGGAGCCTGAGTTCAGGTCCAGGCCTGCCACGTCCCAGTGGGTAACAGGAAGAAGTCAGTTGGCCTCTCAGAACTGGTTTAGGAGGTGATGATGCCCAGAAAGAGCCCCAAGGCTGCCAGTCCCCAGACACCGGGAGGAGCTGCCGGGGGGCTGTAAGCAGCACCCACGGGATCGGCCTCGGAGCTGCCACAGGGAGGCCTGCAGCAGGGGGAGCACAGCCAGGCACCTGGCTCCCTGGGACTTGATCTGGGCCTGTTCCTCCCAGCGGGAGGCTTCGTGGTGGTGGTGCAGCCCGTGTCCACCCAAGGATGAGGGGGGAGAGGAGAGGCAAAGCTGTCATGTCATAAAAATGAAGACAAGCTGTCAAAAAAGGAATGCAGTGGTGGTGGGTGAGACCCGCGGTGCGAGACTCGGCCAGCTATGCAGAAAAACCTGCCACTGGGTATCGCCTGTGGAGCTCCTCCCTGCTTCTCAGCTCCTGGCCGGCCCCACCCGAGCCCACACCCCCAGCCTCGGCCAGGAGACTGGGCTCTGCAGACCTGAGATCGCACGTCTTTGGGGCTCCTCCTTTGTGCTTCACATGGGGTCATGGCTCGGGCAGCATCTGTCTTCAGAACCAGGTGGTGCATAAAGTTCACTCTGCTGCAGCAGCTCAGCCCTTGCCCCAGCCCCTCACCTGCCTCTGCCCCTCACCTGCCCCAGTCCCTCACCTGCCCCAGCCCCTCACCTGCCCCAGTCCCTTACCTGCCCCTGCCCCTCACCTGCCCCAGCCCCTCAGAGGCCTCTCAGCCCCCAGCTGCTCCATCCAGGTGGGCAGATCCTCCCAAAGCAAAGGCAGTCCTCTCTTTTCTTTCCTGTTCAAAAGTTTTTCATGGGTCTCGGTCGTCTAGCACAGTGTCTTTCTTTTAAAATATTTATTGATTGATTTGAGAGAGAGGGTAAAGGAGGGATAGAAGGAGGAAATAGAAAGGGAAGGAGGGAGGGAGGGAGAGAGAGAGAGAGAGAGAGAGAAAGAGAGAGAAAGAGAGAGATCGATTTGCTGTTCCACTTATTTATTCACTCACTGGTTGATTCTTGTACGTGCCCTGACCGAGGATCGAACCTGCAACCTTGGTGCATTGGGACGACGCTCCCACCAGCTGAGTACCCTGCCAAGGCTCTTCCCTCTTAAACGTACATGTTGGTTGTTTGGGTTAGTTAAAACCTGTCACTGAGTCAAGCAGTCCCCCTCAAAGGCCAGGCCGCTGATTGATTGACTGGATCTCATTTCAGAAATCTACAAACAAGTCCACACAAGCCCACACACATACCCTTTCTTTCCCTACACAAATCATTAGCACACTGGGCTCGCTGGGCTGTGCCTTCTACAGTTCTTCGACTTTGTTTCATTTTGGTATAAAAAGAGTCTTTCCTTCTTTGGAAGGCTGCTGGGTGTTCTGCTGTGCAGACCTCACTGGTCTGCACTGGGCGGGTGTTGAGGAAGATCCTATATTTTCTGTCACCAGCAAGGCTGCAGCAAACAATCTGTGCCTGTGTCATTTTGCTCGTGTGTATTATTTGCAGGACAACTTTCCAAAAGTGAAATTACTGGGTCGCACAGTGTGTGCATTAACATTGTCAACATGGTAAAGCAGTTGGTGGCACCATTACTAGTATTTAACCTGGAGATGGCAGTGGACCTCAACCTGGGCTCTAGATGGGCTTGAGTATCTGGAAGTCCTCAGATTGGTAGACAAAACTCGTGCATATACGTAGGTACATTTTTCTAGGCAACCAAAGCTTTCATCAAGTCTATAGAAGGGTGTGTCCTACTCACCCCGCTGATTGGTCTCCAAGCTCCTCCAGTGTGAACTTCCCATCCTTCAGGAAGACCACTCTTGCACATTCCTCGCCTCTGAGTCTTTCTCAGGGAACACCCCCTCCCATCTTCTCTGCCATTCCAAATGATCATGGCTAGCAGGGCCAACCACGCTTACCCAGCACTCACCATTTGCGCGAGAACCACATGAGAAGGGTCTGTATGCTCCCACCACCTCCATTAGATGGACATGGACATGGACATGGAGGCACAGATGAGTTAAGTAGCCTGCGCAGCAGTCAGCACTGGGATTGGAACCCAGGAGGAACGATGCTGCCCCTGCTCTGGAGTGACTATGAGTGGGAGTCTGGAGCTGGGCTCTGGGGGCCTCGTCCTGGCTACATCATTGGGGCACCCTCTCTCACCCATTCAATCAGGATCTCTGGGCAGGACCCAGGTCTGGAGGCTTTCTCAAAGTCCTCGATGATCCCAGGACTTTGAGAAAGGGGAGCAAGACTCAGCGCAGATCTGGAATCAGCTATTTGTCCCCAGACTCTGACTAGGGGCTATTAGGCCAGTGCTGATATGTGTGAGGGCTCTTCACCCAGCGACCTAATTGCGAGGGAGCTGCTTTAGGCTCTAGAGCAGTGGTTCTCAACCTTCCTAATGCCGCGACCCTTTAATACAGTCCCTCATGTTGTGGTGACCCCCAATTTCATTGTTACAAATTGAACATAATTAAAGCATAGTGATTAATCACAGAAACAATATGTAATTATATATGTGTTTTCCGATGGTCTTAGGCGACCCTTGTGAAAGGGTCGTTCGACCCCCAAAGGGGTCGCGACCCACAGGTTGAGAACCGCTGCTCTAGAGGGAAACAAGGGACCGGACTTATTTTAAGCTCTATCCTCCCTGAAGAGATGCCATCAAGTGTCAGCTCAGCCTTTGGAAAAGGCGTAGAGGAGCATCCTGTGTATGTTCATAGGAAACAGGCTGCCTACATTGGACTTGAAATATACTTGCTCACCACACCCAGTGATAATGCAGCATTCTCCCACACGGAGCCCCAGCCCCACACATCTAAGTATGTCTCCTGCTCTTGGGAAATACAAAATGAGGATTAAGATGAGAGAGCAGTTGAGGCTGCCAAGAAAATCTGGAAAACTAAATATGAGATTTTTTTAAAAAGCTGGGAAGACAAACACTCAACGTTACCTTACCTGTAAAGAACCAACGCAGACTGCTTGACACAGAAACGAGTTACCACTGCCCTGGGCTTCACTCCCTGGGGCTTGTCATTGGCCCTGATCCCTTCTACTGTTCAGAAGGTGGAGGGTGTGGAAATCCAAGTAAATAGCATTCCTGAGCGACTCGTTGATTGTGCAACCCTGAAGCCCTTTCAGAAAATTCCCATGCAATCGGAGTAGGTGCCCAAATGCTCAGAGGCCAGGTGTGAAATCTGATCATGTGCAGGATCCGGCGTGTTCTGCCTCGAGTCCTGTGTGACCTGGGGCCTCAGTCCCCCCAGCACCCTCCACTGCACAGACTGTGCTGAGAAGTGCAGACCTGTGAGTGATGTGTGCCTGGCAGTGTTGGGTCAGGGCACCTCTGCCGGAAGGAGACAGGCACTGACAGGCATGGTGGGGCCGAGGCACCCTTGCCCGCCTCAGCCTGGCACAGGTGAGCTGGCAGTAAGTGGTGGAAGATATCAAGTGGCAGCTCTTGGGTCTTAGAAAGTTTCCAAGGGAGTTGAATTGCCATACAGACCTAATGAGGCCGTCTGAGTGGATGCATTTCACAAGCTGTAAAGCCTGGTGAATGTGAAGTGGTGGTGGCGTTACGTGATTCATTCAGCACACAATGTTCTCTGACCCCCTCCCCACCACCCACTTTGTTCCAGAACCTGTGCTGGGCACACAGAGTTCAACGGTGAATGGCACAGACCATTCTTTGCCCTCGGGTCTATGTGAGTCTAAAATATTGCAGGCTCCAGTGTAGTCACTAAATCCTGACTGTCATCCCCGTTAAGAGCCAGCGCTGTTTGGGTGTCGGCATGTGAGGCATTCCTATGCACTTCCCATGGTGTGGCGACAGGACACTTGCCAGGTGCCTAAACCGGAGACCTGGCACCTCCCTGCAGCATCAGCAATGCCTGTCACTGGATTGACAGACAAGCGCCCAGTTCAGGACCCTTCACACATCCCTCCTCACATCCTCCTCAGGACCAGGCAGCCCTGACTCGCAGGTGTGTGCTGGAACGTAAGAAAAGTGATGCGCAGAGTATTGCACTCAAGCAAAGTACCTGGCAGGCACTTACTCAGGAATACAACTCTCAGCCACCATGCCACTCAGGGGGTTCAAGCAGCTGAAGAAGTGCTGGGAGAGCATCAAGACTCCAACCAAGAAATGTATGGCACATGAAAGGGGAGAGAAAATGAAACGGAGCATCAGCCCACTTCTGAGTCCCCAGGCCCTGGGGAAGGAGAGGATTACCAACATGCTGCCTGGGCAGCTCTGCTTCTTGCAGAGCCAAGAAGGGGAAGGAGAAGGAGAAGGAGAAGGAGAAGGGAAAGGGGAAAGGGAAGGGGAAGGGGGAGGGGGAGGAGGAGGAGGAGGAGGAGCAGGAGGAGGTGGAGGAGAAGGAGGAGGAGAAGGAAGGGAAGGAGAAGGGGAAGGGGAAGAGGAGAAGGAGGAGGAGGAGGAACTGAGAAACCCTCCTTGAACTAATAAGTGAGTTCAGCAAGTTGCAGGATACACTGTCAACACACAAAATCAATCCTGTTTCTAACCACTAGCTACGAACAATTGGGAAAAATTTTTTTAATTTTAAGCAATACTATTTACAGTAGCTCTGCCAAAATCAAATATTAAGGCATAAGTATAAGGAAATGTGCACAGTATCTATAATGCCACAACCTACAAAGCATTGATTTAAAAAAAATTCAAAGAGCATCTTAATAATTGGAGAGGTGTACCATGTTCATGGACTGGAAGACTCAGCATAGAAAAGATGTCAGTTCTCTCCAAATGGATCTCTAGATATAACACAATCAAAATCCCAGCAGATAGATATTCAGATATTGACATGCTGATTCTAAACTTTATGTGGAAAGGCAATGGAACTAGGGCAGGGGTGAGCTGTCTCCTGAAATGAGCAGAAATGTGAGTCACTTGCACTGTCAACTCTTGGTTACAGTGACTCTATAGAAAGTTTAAAATTTGGTAGTGTGATTTCTCCAAACTACAAACCCAGGAGACATCCTTGGCTCCCTCCACCACCAATCACCCAAAATTTCCAGTGGCCATAATCCAACAGGTTCTTCTTTTTCAAAACTTTTTTATTACTTTGTAAAAGATAAACTCCTTTGTGCTCACTGTGCAGTGTGAGCAATGGAACACTATCATTATCTTTGGAAGCCTCTATACACCCATTCCCAACCCCATAGCTCTTTCTTCCTCAAGAAAGTCATTCTCAGAAGGTGCTTAGGAGGGTGGGTCCTGAAGGAATTGAGGAGTGGCAATGAGTCAGATTTTGTACCTGTTGGATTTGAGGAGCTTGAGAAATAGGGCCAGGACTGGGGTGAGGCAAGTGAGATGTCTGGGTGAAAAATGTAATGAAGAACTCACTTTCAGCATCATAGGCAAGGTTTGGTCCCTGCAGAGAGCAGAGACATCCCATAGGCAGGTGGATGGATGTGTGGGGCTGAAGGCCACAGAGAGAAATGGGCCTGCAGTGGGTTCCTGGGATCCAGCCTAGGAGGTCCTTCTAAGAACAGATTTAACTTGAGTGAAGAGAAGGAGAATGAGGAGGCTCACAAGGACATCCTAAGGAGGCCCCATGAAGATTTACTCAGAGAGTCAGATACAAACCAACAATAAAGCCACTTGGAGACCTTGGGCAGGTGGCTCAGTTGGATAGAGCATTGTCCAAGACAGCAAGAGTGAAGGTTCGATCCCTGGTGAGAGCACATATAAGAGGCATAAATAAGTGGAACAACAAATCAATCTCTCTCTCTCTCTCTCTCTCTCTCTCTCTCTCTTTCTAATCAATTTTTTAAAAAGCCACTTGGAGCTCATGTCTACCCTCTCCTCCAGGCCTCTAACTGGATATGCAGCTAGTGGACATATAGTTCTTCCCCTGGGCTCAACACGAGTGCAAGCCCAGCCCCAAAGCAAACAAAAACAGAGCCCAGAGAAAACAGGGTTTGGTTTCTCCACCAAGGGGGTAATAAATGACTGGACACAGTTGAGAGGTGATTAAACTGGGACTGTATTGCCTAGCAGGGCATCAGATACTATAACTTGGGAGTGGAGAGGGGGGTACACCAAGCCAAGTTCCCGCAGGGCCAGGCAGGCACTGTCAGTGGGTGAAAGGAGCCAGGAGAAGGAGAGTACTATTCCACAGTGAAAGCGAGTGACAGAATGTGCTACACAATGGCGTGGGGTTACAGGGGAGAGGGATGTGGTCCACTGAGGACTCCGGGTCCTTTTTAAAGAGATAGTCACAACTCATTTCAGCCTACTCTTGCCTGGGAAATGTGTTCACTGTGGCCAGAACTATAGATTTCTCAAGAAATGTCTGAAATCTGAATTTCTCATGTGAAATGTCTTATTTTAAATGTTGGCCACTTATTCAGACACATTTAAAAAACTGTTTATGCCAACACTGTTTGAACCAAGTAGACACACCCACAGGCCAAATTCAGCGAAGTCCTTCTGTGGGCAGCCTCTGTGTTAACCCCTTGGATTTTCTAATAAAGTTGACTGTGACTCAGGGCACCAGCCTTCCTCCCCATTCCCTCGATTCCCTCCTAACTTCACCTGAAGAGCTTTTAACCAGAGGCAGAGGAGCAGAGAGACCCCACAAAGGAAGACGCACCCCACACACGCAAATGACCTCTCCTTCAATGCTTTTCTCTTACAGGTGTTTGGGTTCTGGGTCTGGGTCCTGGTGGCCGCCACCCACGTGGCAAACCCGCTGCTGCAAGGATGGGTGTTGTACGTCTCGCTGACCTCGTTCCTCATCTCCCTCATGTTCCTGTTGTCTTACTTGCTTGGATTTTACAAGAGATACGAGTCCTGGAGTGTTCTGGTAAGAACCAGTGAGGGGACTAGGCCCCCGGACTGCCCCAGACTGGTGTCCTGGGTGTTGTGGGGACAGCGGGCCTTCTGGGTGTGGAGGGGGAACCAGAGACCTTTCCTGGGCTGGGCCCCCATGACCAAGGCTTTTTATGTGAATGTGTTTGCTCTGAAACCGGAACGAGAGCGCTGCCCTGCCGGAGTCAATCTCATTGCATTCCCTGCTGTGCCTTCCTTGTGAGGAACATACACATTCTGTGTGCAGATGACCCTTAAACAGCATGGGGTTGGGGGGTGACCGGCTACACAGTTGGAAATCTACTTCTAACTTTTGACTCCCCCAAAATATAGTTACTAAAAGCCTATTGTTGGCTAAAGGCCTTACCAATAACACAAGTAGTTGATTAACACATATGTTATATGCTAATGTATTATATACTGTATTCTTACAATAAATAAAGCTAGAGAAAAGAAAATGTTATTAAGAAAGTCATAAGGAAGAGAAAATACATTTACAGTATTTATTGAAAAAAATGCACGTTTAAATGGACCAGCACAGTTTAAATCCGTACTCCTAACACATTTCCCTCTAAATCTCATTCGGGAAAAATCAGTGGAGCAACATCGAAGGAAATGCCAACAGGAAAAAAGTCACCCCAATCTCGAGGTCTTGTCACAATCACTGCGTTCGTTCTTCTGATTCCCCACAAATTTTGTGTAAAATGCGTATATGTTAATCACGCTGAAATAATGATTTTGGGTGTCGAAACTTTCGTTTAATATTACATCATGTTTTCATGTTTTCACATCATCTTGATAACCATTAATTTTTTTCTATATTGAACAACTTACCTCATCACTGATCAGATTAAATGAGATAAATGAGAAAAGGGCTTGGCCTAGAACTTGGCACAAAATAAGCTCTCAATTAGTATTGATACTATTACTGCTGTTTATTAATCCACTATTGCTCACTACATAGATATTTCATTAGAAACACTGCAAACAAAACCCCCCAAAAACAAGGCAGGAGGTAGGGAGCAGGCCTGTCTCTTTCTCGCTCCTCCCAGCTGTGTCGTGGGAGGAAAGCGCTCACTGGCTGAGTGCCCGGGTGATGTGGCCTCCCTCTTCCTTCCAGGACAGCCTGTACACGGGACCACCGGCATCCTGTACATGAGC